CCCCACCCTCCCTCCGGCTCTAAACCGAGGGCCGATTGGCGAGCCGATCGGCCCTCGCCGCTCTGGCCCCCCCTCCCTGTTCACCGCTCGCCACTTCCCTCCCAAGCAGTGGCGGCAGTTACAGAGCGTCTCCTGCGCACGCGCAGGAGATGCTCTTGCACTTTCGGGGGGATTTAAACATCCCCCCGAATTTTTTTCAACTTTTTTTATTTTTGTGCACACGTGGGGACTGGCCCACGTGTGCACAAACCTCCCCCGGCCCCCCAGCTGCCCCCAGAGCGCTGATTTAGCGATCCGCACTCCGGGGGCAAGTTCGCTATTAGATATATAGATTTTACTCATATAAAACAAATACAGCTTGCATTTTGCAAGCACAGATACATACATATTTCTGGCTATGCAAAATCCCCATCCAAGTCTGATTTAACAGAATACCCACAAGCCAGAATTCCAAATTCATGTCCTCTGATTTTGCCATTAAATGTTGAACATATCCCATTTTTAGTAACCAAGGCCTTTTCAGTTACATGTGTACCAAGTTTTATTTACTTATTTGGAAAACTTCTATGCTACCTTCAGTACAATTGTTTACAAAAGAAAACATTATGATAAAAGTTATTAATTAAAACTCAGCATTAAAAACCCAGCCAGAGGATAAAACAACAATTTCAAAGTAGAATGGCAATATAGTAACTACTTGGTGCATATTCCCCCCCGGTTTGGAAGGTAGAGATTTCTGCACTCTTAATTGTGGTGCCTTGTCCCATTTTTGCACTTTTTCATAATTGTGGTGCCTTGAGCCATATGTGCTCTAAATTCTACATCTCTAGTTTTGTTGGAAAGTACCCCAGCCATTCTGATATCCACCACAAACAACTGAATTGGCCCCACATATTTTACATGTATAATACACAACACCCAAGAATCTGGGTAAGCCAATTAAGTTAGCCAAATGGACTTTTCAGCTTTATTCCTTTGAATGGCAGATCTCAGCCTATACAATGTCACATCACAAACTGAAACTGTGCTCAGTTTGAAAAAAAATTCAGCATGGGGGCTGCTGTTTCAGACATACAAGTCAAAAACTTCCTTGAGTCTGTGGAAGCATTTATATGGTTTCTGGTTCCATGCCGATATCTGGATACACTGACTGCTTCAATCACAACATCCAGTTAATGTAAACTGAATCTATGTTAGGGAGTTCAAAGCTATTTTGTGCACACAGACTTCTGACATTAGTAAAAAACATTCTATGAAAGCAACAATATTACTTACCTTGGACTAGTAAGATCACGAGAATTGTGGAACCATTCTTGGATCTTTGAGTCAGATGCTACTCCTACTTTCACAAGATATGAATAGGGCTCCACGCGGAAAGCCCAAAAATGCTTTCCTTTCACAATGCCAGTGTCTCCAACAATGTAGTCTAAAGTAGTATAGCAGCCTGCTTGGAGACGTTCAGCTCCCAAAAGCAGAGGGAACCCAGCCCTGTTTTCCACAGAATTCCTCCTTGCATTCAACAGGAGACGCTCACTGTTATAGCCACATTTGTCATCAAAGAGAAAGCTGAAAACTTAAAAATAGTTGTGCATATTAGAATAACATTTAATATTCAGCTATAAATTCTTAAGGGAGAAAATCAGATATCAAAAATTACAGCTTTTGGTAGACTGTATACAAGACTTTACATAACAGACTGCCAAACATTCTTAGGTAATACTGTTACAATACTTTACTGTAACGACCTCCCTGCTGCATTACTAACTAGCAAGAGGAAGGAGCTTCTCAGATTGAAAGAGTAGTAATCAAAGGATACCCTTTCCCTTAGATACATATCAACTGTAAATATAAGCAAGGAACCTGTAAGAACTTGAATGGGGATAACTTCATTTCCCCCCATATCCCCGTCTCAAATTATTTATTCTATCCCTCCTCCTGGCAGCCTGCGTATACTCTCTACCCTTTCCCTCGTCTTCTTCCCATGCACCAACCATTCAACCTTTTATCTGTCCCCCTGCCAGTTTTCATTATTTATTTACTTCATTTATACCCCACCTTCCTTCCTCCTAAATGGGATGCTTTTGAATCTGCAACCACAAGCCAGGGTTGCTCTACTTCAACTCTCTGTGGTGAAAAAGCTGCAAATTTATGTGATGAAGACCTGGTGACTACCTTTCATGCCTCTAACACTTTGGCTGATGCATGGCAATTGCTTTGAAAACTGTTCAGAAGTCTCAACTAGCATAGAAAGCAGTAGCTCATCTTTTAACAAAGCTGAGTCCCCAGGAGCACAATGAACTAATGATCTGATTTCTGTGCTAGCTTCTAACTCTCTTTAGGACACAATTCCAGTTGTTTGCTTTAATCTATTAAAAAAACACTATAAACATTCTGAGCCTAAGTATAGCTAGTCATAGCCTTCTCTAATGATCTTTTCTAATAATGTTCTCTAATAACCCTCCTAATGACAACACTTGCCTCAGGTTCAGATAGTAAGGGGCAGAGAGAGGTAGTGTTGATGTTTGTCTTAGTTCCCTGGGAACTCCTCTTAGAGACTTGCCGAAATCCAATCTATAATATATTTCAGGTGTATTTCAGGTGTATTGTAAGAACAACCAATTTAGTCTAACGTCTGGGACTTGAGGTTGAGTTGGCAGAGGGTAGAAAAAGCATGCTTTTAGCACATGCACACAGAGAAATATAAATATATCTAATTCTCAGGGTGGCCCCATCTGCGGATACTTAAATTTGGATACTGGAGCCATGAACAGACAAGACAAATCTTTCTACAAACCTGTGAAAAGCCCCAAGCTGGCAGACAAATCCAAAGAATCCAAAGAAACCCCCCCCCCCATACACAGGGGAGTTAAAAAAAAACCCTGCCAAAATAATAAAAGCAGTGCCTACACCTTTAAAAAAGGAGATATTGATGGCCATTGTGAGGGTTGCTAGGAAACCACAACAGTATTGCTAGTCATCAAGCCTTGGTTTGTAAGCAAAAGGCAGGGGGAGGACACTTTTCAGGGCTGTTTTGGCCTTTGACAAAAGACTAATCAGGACCAGGCCTGGCAGCAACCACTGGGGTGACTACACAATTTGCATGACTCACCCTACTATTCAACAGCAGCCGACACATAAAAACAAGTCTTGTGTAGTGGCTACAGTACCACCTACAGCCCATGCCCGCCACACAAGTAAATTGAATAAGTTGAGCTGACTTGGAAGTACCAACATGACTGTTATTGCCACCTTAAGGAGTACTATTAATATGAGATCTACTGTTCTAGCAACTGGATTGTTTATGATTGTTTTATTACTGGTTTTAATTGTATTTATATGTGGAATTTTTATGTAAGCCACCCTGAGCCTGCTTTGGCGGGGAGAATGGGGCATAAATTGAATAAATAAACAAACTAGGATTTGGGAGACCCAGATCAGAATCAGCATACTGCTGTGGAATGGGAGACTTTGGGCCAGTCACATATTCTCAGCCTAACCTGCCTGACAGAGTTGTGGTGAGGATAAAATGAAGGAGAGGAGAATTATGTAAGCTGCTTTTCATCCCCATTTGAGAGAAAGGTGGGGTATAAATGAAGCAAATAAATAAAACTGAAGGCTGGTGTGCAGGGGAAACACAGTATAACGGTTGGCTGGCAAGTGGGAAGGGAGCAGGAAAAGGGAGGAGAATATGAGGGCTGCCAGGAGGAAAGAAAGGGATACCAGGAAGGGGATACAGAGGAAAATGAAGTGACCCCACAAGTCCGTGTGTATTCCTTGCTTGTAATTTTCTAAAAGAAGAATTGTAACCTCCCAGAGCCAGCAGTTCAGAAGTTGCTTAAATGACTTACTATACCTGGAGCTGGTGGAGTGTGCAAGATAACTTCCCTGCTCCAAGGGCTACAGATAGATCCTTTATATCCTCTGACTCTGAAAGAATAGCTGCTATTAGTGTCAAGGTCAGAGATTACTTTGCTCTTGCTGAAAACTTCAGTCTCTTGCCATGCTGGGTTTGCCTCTTCTTTATTAACTTTACGGTATTCAAGGATGTAGGTGTCAGCTGAACCTGTGCTCTGTGGATGATCCCAACAGATCAAAGCTTTATTGTACATTTTGCTCTGTTCCTCATTGATCTCTGGTATATCCACACCTAAATTAAACATACAAGAATATTTTTGAGAGTTCAAAAGACAGTTGAATTATTTAGTAAGATTAATAAAAGCATCATCATCCTAAATATATTATAGGAGAAGTTCCTGTTATTTCACAGAATGAAAAAACTGATACAGTTTACCCTGCCCTAAGTTATCCATCCCCAACAGCAGCACTGCTCATACCATTCCTCTTCCACCTTGTAAGAAGGCTCAGAATAAACAACGAAAATGCTTGTCTGTTATCTTGGGAGTCACATCACCATTCTACATAACATAAGCTCATCAAGAAAAAGAAAAAAAAACCCTTCAACACACGTAGACATAAGTGCTTACATACATCTAATAAAGGGAGTTTTGACTCTCTAAACCTTATACCCCCTGAAAACCTTGTTGGTCTCATAAGGTGCTACTGGACTTGAATCTAGCTCTTCTAACTGCAGACCAAACTGGCTGTCCTCCTGACACATTGTGGTTGGTCTGATCGTGAAGCTCAGTCTATTTCTCAGATGCCCACGATCTGCTTTTCTTCACACTTTCCCAATTCATGATTATGCCTCTGTATGTCACTAGTATTATGATATTCCCATAAATTATACAGATTTTTGAAAAATGGAAAAAACCAGACCAGAGAGCAAATTCGTTTGGAAAGAAAATACTTATGACTAAGTGCAGGGTGAGGGGAAGTCCCTCCTAGTAAACTTACCACTTGAATGAAAAGACAATTCTGTAAGAGCCTCCTGTGGTTTTGTTACATCAACAACAAAATCTTCAAAAGAAGCTTGTGCTGCAGGTCTGAAGCTCTTCAGAGATTCAGTAGCTTTCTGAATTCTGCATGGGGGAAAAGTTTATTCACCAGATATATATACAGATTTTAGAAAATCAGACAAGAGTTTTCAAAATGGTAATGCTCCCAAATATATCATGCTTTCATTTTACTCGTCGTGTAATCATTTCCAAAATGTGTCTTTTTAAATAGAAGCACTGTCAGCTGAGCACTCTGCAATACAATCCTTTTTTCTTTTTTTTTCTTTTTTTTGCAATACAATCCTAACCAGACTTACACCCTTTCTAAGTGCTTTAAAGCCAACGGGATTAGAAGGAAGGGTTTAACTCTGTTTAAGATTGCACTGTTAAACTGAATTAAGAAGTTGAAGGTTATTCAACTCATGACCACACAGAAACTCTCCTGTGCAAACCCCATTAAAATGAATAAGCTACACAAGAGTTCCATGATCTTAAAACACACGGCTGAATCCCAAGCACCCATGGATGAGCAGAAAGCATTTCCACTGATGCATTACAGGGCATCAATTTCCCCTTTCCAGCTGCAGCCACTCTTAGTGCACGGAAGACCCATTGTAGAAGGTACTATGACTTTCAAAATCAGCTGGGGAGAGAGGGGTCAGGAAAACTATAGAATATACACACACACATTTTTTTCATCACCACAGTAAATATTAGGCACGATTTAAAGAATAAGTAAACCCATTTGAGAAGATAAATCACGTACCTATCATGGAGCTGTTTTGCTGTCTGAACAAAGCAAGACTGGTCTGTTTCTTTGAGAACTTCTTGGGCATATCCCACAAGGCCATTATTTTCTAAAAGTCCCTGATACTCTTCTCTTTGAGACTTCAATTTCTCCAGTCTTATGGTTTTGGAAGCTTCAATAGCCCTGAGTGCAGATGCTCTCCTTTCTTCTAAAACATCAAACAACTTATCAAAACTGTTTGATGCTTCTTCTTTAGCTCTTTCACCATTGCACTATTTAAAAATAAACACAGGTTTATTTATACTATCAAGGTAGACAACATTCTTGGACTGTGCATTCAAAGAATGCAGTGCCTTTTCAGGAGGCTGGTGTGCTGGCAAGCGTGGGGGGGGGGGGGGGGGGAGAGAAGAAAATGGAGTTACACTGGGAGCAAGTTGAGCCCCGTCAGTACAAGCCTTGCCTGTCGTCTTCTCCCATGCACTGCTAGTTCCTCAGCAGCACACCTCAGCTGCATGAGTGGAGAACAAGGAAAGCAGGCTGGCATGCTACTGTTTGGCATGCACATTGGAGACTGCCTATCCCTCCATTGTAAATTAATGCTTAACGTCATGAAAACAATTTTCATCATTAACTACCAGAATGATGAAATAGAAAATCTCACTGTTTGATGCCAAGTACATTTACAGCCTGATGCTATGCATGCTTACTTAAAAGCAAGTCCTACCAAGCTCAACAGGGCTTGTGTAAAGGATTGCAGCCTCATATATTTTACTTTCTAAGTTACAGGGGGACAGCAGTCAGTTCAGTTTCATTAAAAATGAAGCAAGTGTTTATGACCGACCACATACGTGCCCTAGCCAGAACGTAGAGTTGCTCTTGGCAATTCAGATATCACAAAATCTGCCAAGAGGTGTTCCTGTGTTAAGATGGAATTGTGAGTTTCTCAAAACAGTTGTGAGACATTTGAAAACAGAAACCAAGGATTCGAGCTAACCTCTAATACTAAAGAAAAAAATTCCCAGGTTTACATATTTTGCTTCATTGTCATAGAAGGCTGGCTCTTTATAGCAGTTCAAGTGTACAACTTCATATTCATTGTTTACATATTTTGCTTCATTGTCATAGAAGGCTGGCTCTTTATAGCAGTTCAAGTGTACAACTTCATATTCATTGTTTACATATTTTGCTTCATTGTCATAGAAGGCTGGCTCTTTATAGCAGTTCAAGTGTACAACTTCATATTCATTGTTTACATATTTTGCTTCATTGTCATAGAAGGCTGGCTCTTTATAGCAGTTCAAGTGTACAACTTCATATTCATTGTTTACATATTTTGCTTCATTGTCATAGAAGGCTGGCTCTTTATAGCAGTTCAAGTGTACAACTTCATATTCATTGTTTACATATTTTGCTTCATTGTCATAGAAGGCTGGCTCTTTATAGCAGTTCAGGTGTACAACTTCATATTCATTGTTTACATATTTTGCTTCATTGTCATAGAAGGCTGGCTCTTTATAGCAGTTCAGGTGTACAACTTCATATTCATTGTGCCCCTCAAAATGAAACAGATTGAATACTTACAACAATCTCAAAAATGTATAACTAAGTATTTTAGTGATAGCCACTTTCCTTCAAGAAAAAACTAGATTTTTAAATTCCATTATCTAGTTCATTATACTGAGCAGTGCCAGCCTGTCAACAAAAAGCAGCACCTAACCCTAGCTATCTTACAGAAATTACTATGAATACTTTGTTTTTAAAATAACAGCTACATCATAAAGCAGTTTGGCTATACCAGTAAGCAAATTCTTACCTCTGTTTCTTTCATTAAAAGACCAAGTTCTGTAATCTGGCTTTTTACTTGGCTCTCCTTACTAATGAGGTATTCTATATCCTTTGAAAGCTTCTCCTATTATAAATATAAGCAACACTAATTAGAAAAAATAAACTGTACTTATACATTTTAAGTTAATCTATAAATAAGAATTCCAAAGCTCTGTGCTTCGTTACTTTTGCAGTAGACCTTATGAATCAACAGTGAACATGTCCCATTCTATAAGTCACTGTGTTGTTTATGGATCATAAGCCCAGCAACCATTTTGGAGCTACTGAAACAGCTATCACTGTGCAGGTAACACAGGTAAGAAAAGATTTTTTGAGAGAAGAACTAGGCACAACTTGTAAGCCACCCCTAGTTCTTCTCTCACCCGTTAAAGTTCTTCTCACAATCCTCACACAATCCTTACAGGTCTTTCTGCCATCAAAAGGCAGCTATGCAACACCAGCTTTTGTGTTCTGGACCTGCAAAGCCCAAGGAAGGGGCAAGCATGCCCCCCTCAGGCCATTTTTGCTGGCAAAAACAGCACTGGAGAGAAGCCTGAAGCTCGTCCATCCCCTTCGCAGAGTTTGGAGCTGCACGGAGCAACTGAGAGGTTTTTAAAGGTACATGTGACCAAGAGCAGGGTCAGATATCTGTGACCTGACTTGTGTCACATGTAATGTGTATTTTGGTCCTTAGAGTCTGAGTGCCTGAGTGCTAACTCTGAACTCCTACCACCAAAACTACCGATCCTAGAGTAAGATATATTTTATACATAAAAACTATCAAGTATTTGAAGTGTATGTTCCATCAAACCTGACATGAAAACCTTTATCAATTGGTAGGTGTTCAAATATAGTTAAAACATGCATGATTTATGATGAGTTAAAAATGAGAATTTTACAAGTCATACTTAGGGTTGACAATATTCAATAAAAGTAATATATCCAGTTGTGAAACAAATGGATTGGATTCCATCTAAAATTCCTGGACACAGCAGGACTTCCATACATAGAATCCAGACTTTCCTGCCTCCCCCACTGTTGCTCCTGGGAATGAGGGAATCTCAGAAGCAGTATGAAGGGTAAGCTGGAGGGCTTCCATACTGCTATGGGGGAGTGTGAATAAGCAAAAATCATCCACCTTGCCTGCTCAGATCTCTTCAACAGGATCCAACCCACTGTATTTATTTATTTACTGTTAAAGCCAGCAGAAACCATCTTAACTCTAAAGCACTTAGAAGGAAGATGCCATGACTATTTCAAAAATATGGCTGGATCGAAAGTACAGTGCTTTAGGGACGTTAGGCCTATGCAGAGAGTGATTACAATGTGGAATTCACTGCCAGGGGATGTAGTGATGGCCACAGGAACAGACAGCTTTAAAAGGGGATTAGACAGATTCATGGAGGATACGTCTATCAATGGCTACTAGCCATGGTGACTGAGGGGAACCTCCACATTCAGAGGCACTAAACCACTGAATCTCAGTGCCAGATGCTAGGCGGCAACATCAGGGGAAGGTCTTGGGCTCTATGCCCTGCTGTTGGCCCTCCAGAAAAACTGGTTGGCCATTATGTGAGACAAGATGCTAGACTAGATGGACTACTGGTCTGATCCAGCAGAGCTCTTTCTTATGTTCCTCAAACAGCAATTCTCCCAGCCTCATGGCAAACACTTTCATAAATTAACAGGAATTTTAAAAAAGTTTCTATGAGGCGCTGATAAGAAAGGGTCTGCTTTCTTACAACGAATGTCCAAATGCTTGTGTATGGCTAAAATAACTGTTTGACCATTCCCATTTACCTTGAGTATTTTGTAGGCACTGCTCATGGTAGTCACTCTGTGATTTGCATGTGTGCCACCCAGTTTGCAAAGATGACAAACAGGCCTTCTGCATATTTCACAATACATATTTACTCTCTCCATTTCATGTTCTGGACACATCAAAATCTGACAAAGAAAAACACCAGAATATAAATTTACTTCAAGAAATGCAAAGAAACATATGAGTACTAGTTTACTGGTCATACTACTGCCTGTATTAACATAATCTGATTTTACATATTACAAACTGGATCCTACAACTCTATTCTGCTAACAGTGAAATCTCCCCACCAGCAGAACACACTCCTCCTACCAACAGCAGGTTCTGCCAGGAGAGGAACAGAACCATTGGCTCTAAGCATATACAAACAATATCAAGAAAAATTTATTTTAACAAAATCAAGACACTGAAATATGGCTACTTTGTAATAAATACAAGTGAATATTATCTTTAAAAATCATATAAGCCATCATAGCTGAGTGTCATCCTATTAATTTCTTGAGGGGGAAAAAGTGACTCAAAAGCATATAACAGAAAGAGTCAAGTAATATGGCTGATCAGTCTTCAAAATCTGAAAACACAAAAGGGGTGGGATTTGAAAATGACAAAAAGATGTTTTCATCAAAGAAACCAGCCATGTTCTATAGCCATTAGGGATGGGCACAAACCAGGGAAATGGCAGATCATGGTGGTTCATTGGGTTCCATGAACCATGAACTTTTAAAAATGTTTCCATTTGCCAAACCAGTTCATGGTTTGTGCAGTTAATGAGCTCAGGAGGTGACAGAACACCCCCCCTTGCAATGCCAAACTCACAGGGAGTCTTCAGCAGGCTCTCCTCCAACCACCCTCCCAGTTTGATGAAGATTGGATTTTTAAAGAAAAAAGGAGCTTTCCCCACCACCACCTGGCACTGGCAGAGAAAGCCCAGTAAGTGTGTGGCTCAGGTCCCTGAAACCACAGCAAGGAACACCTTCCCAGCCAGGAGAGGTGCTTAAAAAACTGTCCCACTCTGTGAGCAAAAAAAAGAATCCCTCAAAGCCTCCCCTCGAATTAGCCAGCAGCAAGCAATTATTCTTCTAACTGTCTCTCACTCAACGACTAACTCATCTCCTCCTGCTGTAAAGTGAAAACGGCTGAGTCAGGGAATGGTACAATTTGCTACCATAGAGACAAATGGGAGCACCGTGGTTGGCTGCCAGAGCGACCAATCAAACTATGGACAACTACTATGGGTGTTTCTGGGGCTCTCCACAAGTCCACCCCCAGCACTGCCTGGGAATTGATTGAAAACCGCTCTAATGAACCACCTGAACCTCCATGGGAAAATAGTGGTTCATTGTTGGTTTGGGAACAGTGCAAATAAATGAACTGGGTCAAAATGAACCACAAACATGCCCGGTTCGAGTAAAAATTCAGTTTGTTTTGCAGTCTGTGCCCGTCCCTAAAAGCCATTCAACACTATTTACCTGGAACTTCTGCCTCGTTAATGACTCACTAGAACTAACAGGAAAGTATCTCATTCTTCCTGGTAAAGTTCACATATTTTAATAACATTCTGTAGTTAGCTTGTTCATTATATAAGCTATAACATGTTGATTTGATTCAAACTCCAGATGTGTAATTTGGACCTGAAAAATCACCCATATGGGCCTAGAAATGTGAAGTCCCGGAAAAAAAACAGAAATTTTTTTCCTGAACCCTTTTTTGGTTTTTTTCCAAAAAAATGAAAAAAGAAAAGAAATTGATTATGGAATGTTTTATTTTAACATGATGAATAAAATATTTTAAGACAAGGTATTCAAATATTTTTCAAATCATTTCTAAAAAATATGTATCAGACTGATCCAATTTCTGTGCACTGAGGACAAGCAAGTCCTAGGTTACAAACTGAACTCTCCAATGCAAGAACAAGATGCATTTCTTCCTTTAGGAGGTGCTATTGTCACAAGAAAAGAAAAAGGTTTCAGTTTTGTTTTTACATGTGGGTGGGTATTCTGATTGTAATAATTGTTTGGATACACTATATTTTTAATATGCTAGTTGTGATAATTTCATGCCAAGTAAAAATGTCCATAGTCATATTTTATGTTCCTAAAGTAACAGAATGACTTTCAATCTGGAAAAGAAAAAAGAAGGTAATGTAGCATTTTTCATTTTTTCCGAAAATTTCAGTTTTTCCCTGGGAAAAAAAAACAGGAAAAAACTGGGGCTTCAAAATTTCCACAAATTTTACATCTCTATATGGGCCTCAATCTCAGTCAGGGCCAATATTCTCAAGTGTCAACAGAATATCAACAAAACTTCCTAGTATAGCAACAAGCAATGAAGATGTACTTCACAGCAAGATAGATATATGTGACTGGGGGGAATGCACAAGTTCAAAGAAAAACCAGGATACCGTTTTTAAACAAACAATTATTTCTCATTTGAAAATAACCAGGATGATAAACTCATGTATAGTGAGACTGCAAACAGAACAGCAAGATGAGAAAGCATATTTTCCATTAGTGTCTTACATAAGTCCAAGCAGTGATTGTCTAAGGTAACACATTTTCTTCTAGCAATAGTTCCAAGATTTTCATACAGAAACTATCCAGTTAAATTGTAGATATGCCTTTGCCTCTCATCAAGTTACAACGACCTGATTCAGTATATTTTAATCTATACAAGAAACTGCATTGAACAGTCCTTAGACAATAACAGAGATACCTGGAGACAAATGGAAATATTAAATTTCATAAAAATATTTTTCCCTTAGAAGAGGAATAAACATATTTTTCTTAATATAAGGGTACTTGCTCTTTAATCAAATTCCTTATTTTTCAGTGCTACAAGGGTTTCTTTTTGAATTTTGATTACACCAACTCTTACAGTGAATTTCTGTCATTACTAACCAGAACACTGAATTGGAAGATGTTATTGTTAAAGTTTAATAGCAAATCCACACAGCCTCAAATTTAACGTTATAAGGTTAATTCACTTAAGGGGATTAGTAGCAATTACAGGATCCCATCTGGTTGTTTTTATAGCAGAAAGAGTAAATAACCATTTAAAATAATTGTCCTCCGGAAGTTTGGCAAATACAAACTTATCCAATTACCATGATCTCATTTAGGATTCTGCCTTTCCAATCAGCTGGCACAACCTTTGGTTATGTGACTCAGTTATAGACCTGCAACCACCGGCAGGCACTTCCACTCATGGGGGAAGATTCAATCTCCTGTTGTCACATCATACACCATTAAAAGATTTCCCTAAACATCAGGAGCAGCTTTTCTGAGAGCACAGAAGGCTGCAGCAGGAAGGAGGGCAGGAAAGACCTCTGTGTACATAGAACAGCATCTGGAGGGGGGGGGGTTTGAATCTAAACTGATGTTTAGTCTGAAGAAAAATACGAGACCCTGTGTGATTCGATACCTAGAATGTCAGACTGACGGGAAAACCAGGGTTCAAATCCCTACTCTGCCATGAGGGCGACATTGGGCAGATTAATCTCTCAGTCTAACCTATCTCACAAACTTTTGTGAGAATTAAATGAGGGGAGAAAATCATGTAAGCTGCCTGACCTCCATGAATGATGGATGGGATAAAAATGAAGAAGTCAGTAAATAAATGAATTTAGGAAAAGTGGGAAAAAAGCAACCACAATTATTTCAGTGTCGGAAACTAGCAGCAGGTTACTAACCATCTGGGAAATGAAACTGGAACAGAGCCTCAATAAAACAGTGAAAGCAAATAACCTCATTTGTTTTACTAAACTTCATAGGCTAACATACTTTGCATAGCAAATTTTAATCTCAGGCTTCATTAGACAGACCCACAGGGGAACAACAATTCTCATTCCCATTCACCTCCTCCCTATGGGCCATTTTTGACATTAAATTAAAGCAGAGGAAAGGACATCCACAGTCCTGCCATTGTAAAAACAATGTCTATGAAGACACCAGAAGACAAATTTAAAAATTAAGATACTGTTGTGTAGCAGCAGCCACCAAAGCATCCATTAGGATTTTGGGATCTCCTTTAATTCTCAGGCAGATAGAAATGTAAGAAAGAGTGAGTTGGTAAGAAAAGTTTCTCGGGGGGGGTGCTATGGGTTAGGCAGAAACCCAGTAGTGGGTTAGGCAGAAACCCAGTAGTGAGATAGGCAGCCAGAAGGGGTTTTCATCTCTTTATCAGATGGCATATTGACTTAAACCTTGTCATTGGATATAGGTACAAACTGGCTCACCAATGACAGTTCATAATAATTTTTATTATTTTAGAATAAAAGACAAAACAAACATACAAACATATATGAGAGTAATCAAAACAACGTTATATCTCATAATCTACCTCATACATAGATACCCAGCTCTCTCTACCATCCAACCTACTAAAGTTTTTGCAAACCTATATTTTAACATTATATATTTTCTACTAAATAAAAATTGTCTAAGCATTTCATTACAATTTTCTATTAATATAATCAAGTGTACCTTGGATTTTCTTAAACACAACTTTCAAATTATTTTTTGTCAACTATAATATACTTTGTTTAAAATGTTTAACTTGATCTTCCATTACATAGATTTGGACTTAAAATAATTAAGCCTATTTCCTTAGTCTCTCTTAAACACTTGTAATTAACTCCTTTTGTTAATACAATTGAAATTTCTACTATCATTATGTGCCATGGTTTTTCACTTTAAATTTAACTTCCACTTAATATCTTTAATATGAAACAATATGCTATAATTACACAAAAACACATTACATCATAGCTAGTCTCAATCAGATACATACAAATAAGTTCCCTACTACCCCAGCCTTACATACCTTTATTTAAAAAAATAAAAATAAGTATGTTTCCCTAGTTCCTCTTAAAGATTATTAGTTACACAATCTTACTAATACAGTCTTCTGATATCATCTTTTGCAATATCTATTTGAACATTCTGAATTTATCTTCCAATATCTTTGATATAAATCAATGCTCTAGATATGCGCACAGACAGATTCCAACAAAGCCATTGTCAATCAGTAACCATACAAAGGCATTTCTTAAATCAAACTTATGTATAGAACTTAAGTCTTTTCGTCTTCTTCTGGTTCCCTCTCTTCACCAATGTCCTAATTCTAT